GACTTTTTTGAGATGAATTCACAGGCAATTGAAAAGAGAGTCGGCTTTATGGGACCGATGTTCTGCCGACCCTTTGAATTTGACTTATGTGTCTTATACACGTTCCCACATTTCTCCTGACTAGGTGCAGTACATTTCCGATCTGACATTCTACGACACCTGATTCCCACTTCCTATTACCTTGATAAGATTTGACAAGTACCTTTTCACCCACCTAGAAGCTAGAAAGTGACCGTACGATACTTATTCATGGGTTTACTTGTCCTTCTGGTTGGCAACATACTGTTAAAGACTGTCCGGACTTTCCTTCCGAACACACATTCGGCTGATGACTTTCCTTCTGGTACTTAAGGATTAGTGGTAACTATGTAAGACATTAGGAACTTACCGATCGCTTGTTCTGGGATACCCTCTCCTCCTCCTTTGACCAGAGCTCTTTATCGCATCCACGAATCTTTCTGCTTGATCATTCGACTGAGGATGGTACATAGGAGATTGTAGATGCGATATGCTATTTTCGCTGCAAAATGGTTTAAAAACAGATGACATAAACCGAGTGCCGTTGTCAGTCACTAAGGTCTGGACACAGAAGATGATTGAGAAATCTAAATCACATTAAGACTAAACTTCATTTTCGTAGGTGGAAGATAATATAAAACATGAAAAGATAAAAAATAGTAAGTAGGTTGTGACATCTTCACCAAATAAAAAAATAATTCGAAAGGACTTTTAACGTATAACCCTTGTACCTTTTTAAACATATCCGCTTGATACTTGAAACAAGAACCCACTGACTGAACGTCATGTTTCCTATTCGACGGCCTCCTGGTAATTGTTGAAATTTCTGATTTTTAAATCAATAACCATGATTACATCCAGGATATTAATAATGTGTTCGTGTAATTTGTCACATGAACTACGTTATTGGACTTCGCTTTTGCTGTAATTAATTCCATATGGTCACCGATCCGTTCATTTGACTAAAATATCCCAATCTACTTGTGATCACATTGTGTGACCTTAACTTTTGTGAGTCTCCATATTCAAGTTTTATACACGGAAAAACAAAACCGTATGCTCCCCTACTTTGCACAGATAATTCACTCAATAACTCTACAATCTATCCCAAAATTTTCTGGTTTCAAGATAAAATCAAATACACCCGAATATTCATATTTTTCGTAACAATCTAATCTCTCACAACAAGGTGATCCATTAAGCCTCAAAGGTCTACTCTAATACCGTGTTATTCCCATGCCAAAATATCTCTCCTTTAACTCAAAGTAGAATAACATTGAGGAAGATCGTTTACGTTAATTAAAACAGTAATAGTTAAATTAATTGGGCGATGTTTAATGATCACAATTCATCGTCGGCTTCAAGGACCGAGCCAATTATTTCATTCTTCTGGTTCACCAGCATTTTTTGACCGATCCGGAGACATATTAAACAGAACTGTCGGTTGTTTGCTAATTATATTAATCACAGATCCTACCACTGGAATATATATTCTATTTGAGATGTTGAAGTCGTTGATAAACTCCATTCCTAATAAATTCACTACGTATCGTTGAAACACTATTGCCAGAACTTGTAGCTAGTCTTTACCATTGTCGGGAGAAAATATTTTGCTGAAGCATTCGGATAAGCGTCAAACACAATCATAACGAATTTACCTTTGACATAAGTGGCGGAACTCCGCCACTTTTATAAGTTCGCAACTTAATGAACAAAAATAATTTCTTGAGACTATTCAGATCATCTCGAAACAGTGATCATCATTAAGATAAGTGTGACGATCTACCATAGTAGTCGTTTTTATGTCATTCGTAGACAAGGATTTATCAAAATAATGAACGTACGCAAGCACATTATTTTTAATGGTTGTTCGAATGTTCCTGTTGTTGATGTTAATGATTGCATTTAATAAATCTCTATTGGGATATGTGTTTCATGTGCTGGTCGTCTTTATATTAAGTAACATGCATCTTAAGTAGTGATGGATTCTGGCTAACAGTGGTATTTAAGATGCTTCTGTATTCATATTTGAAATTCGACATCTTGATGTACCTGCACCTCGGCGTATATGTTAACACCAAGACTAATACACAGAAAATTTCATTTCGAACTCCCCAATGCATTATATAATTAGAGGTTAGTTCTGCTAGTGAATACGATCCATCTTTGCTTCAGTTAAGGGCCTTTGGATTTTCGGATTTTTACATTTTTTTAGGAACCAAATTTTATAACGTACATTTCATCAAAGATTTGATCTTACAATAATCCATCAGCGAAAATACCTTCATGGCATGGTTTAGAGACTGCCCTTTGCTTACTAAAGCTCAACATTTCGAGCCTGGTCTGAAATCAATATATAATTCTGATCCAAGTTAGAGGTAGAGTTTCATGTTTGTCAACTTACACTGTAACTCATAATGTGGATACAGTTCAAAGACAGAACGACATGGCAACAACATAATCACGTTGTTGAAACCTGTACAATGTGGCTAGGTGAAGGACTGAAAGAATCCACCAAACGTTTATTACTGTCTCATTCTGCGGTTACGAAATACAGAATCAACGAGATCTTAGAAACCAACATCATATTAGACGTTCGAGTGGATCATCCAGTGTTTTATATTCCCGCTTTATTAGCACAGCTAAGGAATCAATACGAGGATGTTTTGACCAATCATATACATACAAAGTACCCTATTTTGCCCTTTTCCTTCCCATAACCTTAGTCAACAACCAGGTTATAACAATCATCAATTTTGTCTACGTTCCTATGGAAATATTTGTGAATATTGTCTCTATATGTTCACTTACCATTTCATTCTACTTTAGTCTCAATAATTTAATTGCTTATCTCAGTTTGAATATTATTCGTAAGTTTCAGTGATGGTTTACTCACTGTGTTATTACATTATACTTCACACATACACGTCTTGAATAGATTTAAAGTTAGCACGAATATTCACGGCTTGAATTCATTTTTGTCTGTAACAGATTTATGGTCGAAAGATCCCAAACCCAGTCAAACCAGAAGTCAGGAATGAGTGATTATGAAGGTGCATTTAGAAGATATTCGGCATCTCGAGAAGCATGTGATTTAAGCTGGCTAGCTGTTGCTAGTGATGCCTAGCATGGCGTACCCACTCATGACCTGGTGTGTACGCGTGACCAAACCTCTTCAGCTAGAATGTTATCAGTAAAACTAGTGAGGTAAGCATTAGTCTCGATGACTTACAGAACTACTAATTTTGGTGAGTTGTTTGCCGCTGCATATTATTTATTTACGTTGAATACTTGCCACAACTATGATCAATAACTTTATCCTCAACTTCCTATACGTATACTATAATCCTACAAACCACAATTATTCAAACGATCAGAATAAATATATCGATCTTTTAATTGTAAGGCTTGGTAAGAAGTTATGAAAGATGTGCATCTGTTCAACTTGTTTCCACAGAGAGTGACGGTGGGAAAGGTGAATCAATAAAAAATTTAATGATAGGGGTTTTCATTCAGCATCCAGCATCAAGTGTCAACCGATTCATCGTGATCACATTTACGTGGTCTAGTATTTACGTTATTGATGGTAACGTCCCGTTCATGATAAATGTTTCAGCCACTCTCTGTACAGATTAGCAATCTATCAATCATTTTCCACTTCACTTGATCAAATATGTTAACTCGTCTTAAGTAACACTGCTAGAGTTTCCGAAGAATAATATCGATGCGAGAATTGGCAAAGCAAAGTCAGTATTCCTACAATTGAAGAACGTATGGAGTTCAAGACAACTGTCAACAAATATCAAAGTTACAATTTTCAGTACGAACGTCAAGACAGTTAGCTCTACTGTGTGGAGCTAAAAATTCGAAAACTACCACAACTATCATCAAAAACGTACAAGCATTTATAAACAATTGTCCACAGAAGATACTCAATATCCATTGACCGGATACCATCGATAACAACCCACTATGATAGAGAACTAACCAGCTTCAGATTAAAGAGAAAATAAGGAATAGGTGTTGAAAGTGGATAGGACATACATCACGGGAATCACCAAGCTGCATCACGAAGCAAGCTATAACTTGGAATCCTGAACAACAACGAAAGAGTGCAAGACTAATAAACGCACTGCTTTGATAATTAAAAACAGAAATGAAAAGAATGAATAGCACCTGGAAACAATTACCCAGAATAGAGTTGAATGGAGAATGCTGATGAGTGGCTTATGCTCCTCCATGAGGTGTAACAGGTGTAAGTAAGTATCAAAGTCAATCATACTAGTCCGTCAGTAACAATGTAGAAATTCGTACTTACGTACATCAGTTCGAGTTGCCATATCACATTAGCACAGAGATGCAGTTGTCGATTCAAATCCCATAGTGGTAGAGGTAGTAAAAGCATAAGCAATAATAGGAAAGATTAGGGTTTAAAGATGTTATTTAAGGAGTATAATTCAGTGAAATAAATTTGAAAAGAGAAAAAAGAAAGGGACATGAAGAATTCAGAAGATTAGAATTTGGGAGAACACAGAGAGTGGATGCACCTGGGCCATTGCAAACGATTTTGAGCCATGTCATTCAGGGTCTCTAACTATCGGTTGCTATCATCTCGCGGTCCCCAACCAGGTAGTCTACACCTACCAACATGACTCACTCTGTGCACTTGTCAGTGACTTCATGGACTTGTGCCATGTTTTGGTTTGGTCGCCTCTAGATTTCTTCCAACCTACTCCTATACCACTGAACATCGCACGTTGAGGCAGTCGGTCGTTGGGCATATGTTGTAACACGTGTCCCAGCCATCTCAACTGATGAAGTTTCACTACGTCATCAATTGATTTGCCATTTTTTACCTAATACCCGTTTCCTAACAACTGAATTACTTACTCGATGGTCCCAAAATATACTAAACTATATTTTATGAATAACTATCTAATTTATCAATGAAAATGATCTATTAAAATATTATGAGAATACCATTTTCTCAAAGGAAATAAAAAAATTTTATTTTATGAAATGACATAAAATGATCAGTACATGATTGTTTTCAGTTGTACATGGTTACATAATTCATTTAACAAAAAATTTGATGACATTCATAAAAAAGAAAAAACAAAAACAAAGTTGATCATGATATATTCACCTAATCATAGTTGTATTCCATATAGAAAATTGTATCTAATTTAAACAAAGTTATCACCATTTCAGTTGTTGTTGTTTTTGTTGTTGTTTCTATGGTTACTATTAGCATTGCATTGCTTTAAACAAAATTGCCATTGGATTGATCTGAATTAGGATTTAATATTGTATCATTATCTAATGTTATATTCATATAATCATATTGTTTCCCTTTATTATTATTATCATTATTATGCTCATTTTGTTTTAATTGTTTCTCTCTATTTATATATGCTTTATGATAATCAATAAACATGTGCCACCATTGATTTAATATTTCCCCAGTGATTATATCACCAATATTATCACGTAACATATGTATTAAAAAATAACCATCATTTTTAATAAATTTTTTAATAAATTGATTTATACGTATATCATTTAATTGTATATTACAACCATCACAATCAAATGAATGATTAAAATATTTATCTAATAATTGTGATTGTATAGATACTACTAAATAATGTTGTATATAAGTAGTTTGACAATTTTTGATAATAAAACGTATTAACCATATAATGATACTAATAATTGTAATCATTGTTACAAATAATATCCATAACCATAAAAATATATAAATTTTTTCATTGAACATATTTACTGGTAATGCACAAATAGCTGTAAATAAATTATTTTTAGTACCAAGATGACGTACTTGTATTGGACAATATGTTTGCCTTGGGAAAAATTCACTTTCAATCCATTCATGTTTTGATTTTAAAGTTAATATTAATTGATTACCAAAATGATACAAGTTACCATGGTAACCTAATAATGTTTTGATAATATATAATTGTCCAATTAAATTCATTAAATATAATAATTTAATGATAATATATATGATTGATATATAATTACCAATATGTTTACCAATAATAAATAAACTACTTAATGAGTAGTTTGAATATTTTTGTTGAATTTTTGACCATTTTGTTAATGGTTGATTATGATTATTATAATGTTGACAACCTAAACGAAATAATTGATATGCAGCTGATTCAACAAATTTTTGACGTTTTATATAATCATCTGCTGTATTTGCTTTATATGCCATATCTAATATAGATTCTAAATTTTCACCTAATAAATGTGTTGCCAATGATTGCCATATAATATGTGGTATAAAAAATAACATGGCTTGTATTGATAAACAGAATGGAACCCATTGATAGAAGGCTTTATTAAAAAAAAGAGAAGAAAATAATAAAGAAAGAAATGAGACACTATATAGTATGGAGAAAGAATTTCAATGATGAATATGTTTAAAGTAGATGCAATACTTAACTCTGGCTGGAGTCCCTCCGGGGACTACTGCCAGTCCCGAACCCGGATAAAGGAGGAGGGTTGGGCATGAGGTTAGCGTCCCCATCCCGTAGAAAACTAACTCGCTAAAAAAAAGCTAACCGGAAAGAATTATTCAAACCTTTTAAACTCTGCCCTGGGAGTCAGAAGGTCTTCATTCATCCATTCACTCATAAGATGCAATACTTAGTTACAGTAGTAAAAGTGTGAGACTTCTGAACAGTGTGCATCCACGATCCCACTTCGCGAGATTTAAACCTCGGACCTGTCAGTGTCATACGCGAGCGCCTAATCTCAAGACCATTTAGCTGACCGGCATCCAACGTTGTTAATGTCTAGCTTCAACTAATCCACGAAACTGAGCGACACATTCACCATTGTCATTAGTGAGTTACTATGTCACAACAGACCCGGTTGAACTCCATTGGTCACTGCTTCTCATTAGAACTCCAGGAAATACCTCTTGAATCCAATCACTAGTGAGCATATGTTGATTAATATCAGAAGCGGTTTATGTGAATATTATAGTAATTTTAATAGTTGAGATCACAATTCAACTCTGGTTAGTTAATTACTAATACAATTTTATTTACTTCATGAACCAACTTATCCTATTATTATGTGAACTGAAGGAAAAGTTTTTGAGAGGTCAAATTAACGCAATCAATTGCTTCATAAATTCAATGATTGTTTGGAGTAAACACCCCAGTTTATGTCTATGCAATAACCATGATCATTTGTTGAAGACTTTGGGTGACTAACTCAAGGCATTTTACAGAGGAATCGATTTATTCACGTGGATACTGAATTTCATTACTCCTTCAAACGTCCAATCTATTATATGACTCTGTTTTTCAACCATATTATCTATCCTTAATCCTTTTCGCAACTTCATCTAATACTATTATTTTGACTGATTTGCTATACATTATGATGGTCTCATATTCACGTGATATGGTAAATTGACGCATATTTATGTTAAGCCTTCAGGTTCCTATCAAAGCCTACTTGTGCTGAATACATATTACATATTAGCCAAGAGTGTTTCACTTGAATTTTTAGCTTCAAGGCATGTTCACTAAAGATATTTCTTACAAAGCATAGATCATGAGTAACAAAAACTGTGAGAGACTAGTATTTTTCTCATACATTCATTTCTATTCAAACAGAGTGAAATGGATGAATGTCGGAAAAATGCCATGCATACATTGGGTAACTGTTTACCCTCACTTACATAGTTTCCACCCAAAACATGATTTATCAAGTCTTGGTGTGATCACGTTTATATGAGGCATTAGCTAATCACCCCTGATGTTTACAGAATGTATAGTTTGTACATTCATCTGGATAGTAATTGAGAGTATAGCATCTTGTATGGTGATACTCAATAGTCAAGTTTATTTGAAATCTTGTGGGGGAACACATCAAAATGTTACAGTAATGAACAATAACTTTGAACTGAAACTTTTAATTGATACGACTTGTATTCTCTGGAATTCAATTCATTCTCCAAGTATTTTTCAAATATTCTTATTCTCCTGATAAAGTTCAAATTGTATGCTATTTAGATATAAAAAGGAACACATATTTTGTTGAATACTACTGTTTGTTCACTCAACTATCTCTCTTTAGTCAGGAATACAGCTTTACTCATACTACATATACACTCGTGCACATTTGCAACCTAAATGTAATCATCGCTCGTTGTAAACTGAAGAGTATTTAAGCAACAACAAGGAGATTTTCAGTGTATTCCCCGGATATTGTAATTATGGAAAATACTACTATGCATAGATGATATTTTAAAAGTCAGCTTCAACTACTTATAAGTAGGCAAAGTAATTAAAGAAAAATATTTGGGCTTCGGCAATAAAAATATTCTCACCTAAAAATAGGACTTATAAAAGATTGTGTGGTATATGTTATTTACGTTGACAGAAATAAGTTGTATGTAACACCGATCGGAAGTGAAATTCCTGACAGCAAAAGATTGCAATGAAGGGGACAAGAATGAAGTGTGAGAACAGTTCAAACGACAAAAGGATTTGAGGAATAATGGAGTGTGCAAAGATCAACGCGAAAATGTGTAAATGATGTATTTAATGTATGATTTTCATATTTTACTAAGCCACTGTGTGATTTTTCATTTTTTGTTTTGATCTTTTCATGGATTTTAGGACTGCAATCGATCAGTCTTTTATTAGCACATATCCATCCTATGACGATTGCCTCGATATTGCCTTCAGTCATAAGTATTGTTAGTGAAGATGGATGGTAGCTAGCAGTGGAATTCAAAACACGTGTTTCATCTTATTTGGGACTTGTCTCGGAGTGAATATCAACTCTGGAATCCAGTTACATCCATCTGACGAGTCCAAAATAGGACGAAACCCGCGTTCTGGATTCCGCTATTAACCAACATCCATCTATGTTTACTACGATTTGATGTCCGCAATTGATTTTTCACCATTTCAATTGTATTTTATATTTAGTTTTGAATATAAATATTTGTTGTTTTAGGCTTTCATTGTAGTTAAACGTTCAATATCGGTAATTATAATGATTTGATTCGAATTAATAATAGATTACTTAGTTTTGGTATACGGAAGTCAAATATTTCTATTAAAGCTAATCTCGTCAGTGATTTAAAGTGTTATTCTTGATAAGAATGAATTTGAAAGATCACTACATACTAAAAAGGTTTTTATTAAAAATTAACTATTACTATGGATACACTTAGTCACAGTAAATCGAGTGGGTTTGTTTCGATATTTTTGCTATCATTAGTGTAGAACTATGTTTGATAAAGTACAGAACGTAAGTTGACTTTGACCAGCTTGTTATAGTCAACGTTAATGGATAATGAAAAGGATATGGTTTAAATGAATTGCTTTGTTAAACAAATGGGTCCAGTGTCTTGATCTGCACTATAGACAATAAAACAACTATCTAATGTTCTTTGGTTGTTGGTGTTTGTCCGTATGATGTTAGCCTATGATGCCAGCTAACTTTACTAAACGGAATACGCACTTGGTAGCTAAGTAGATAACGTGACAGCTTTTGAAGCGAAAGATACTGGGTTCGAGTCCCGGAATGAACATTAACTCTTTGATGAAGGTACATCCAGCTAACGAGTCCCAGATAGGACGAAACGCATATCCTGGATAGCTAACTTTAAATTTATAATTAACAGTTCTTAGCTAAGCTTTAAACGAATAATTAAACTATTTGTGTTGATCTTTATTGATAGACTTAATTATTGTGAATATGATGTTTATGATCGAGATCGTGAAAAGTTAAAGATTGTCTTAAGTCCATCTTTACTAATCTAAACTCCATCACAACAAAGGATCCATGTCTTAAATTCTAATAATCAAACTTATATAAATGTTATCAACCCAGTGTCACTCAATTATAGGAATTGTCTTCAAACTTTGTATAAATTTCATCAGATAGATCTCTTCATTTATTCTTTATAGAAACAAAAGAATTCATACAGTAAGTGTATTAATTAGAAGGGTTTTTGTGGATATTATAGTAATTTCAGTAGTTGAGAACATGAGTCAATTAAAGCTAGATCACTACCATGAAAAACCTGGAAGCACTGGATGATCGTTTCGTCTCATTGTGGGACTCTCCTGCAGCGTGTGACCATGGTCCCGGGATTCGAACCCAGAATGCCAGCTCAGTGATCTAGTAGTTAAGAGCTCATGCGCGAGACATTTAGGTCCTGAGTTCGAATCTCGGGAGTCAGGATCATGGTCGCGCGCTGCTGGAGAGTTCCACAATGAGTCGAAACGACCGTGCAGTGCTTCAAGGTTTTTCATGATGGTGGTCTAGCTTCAACTGACTCATGATCTCAATCATTTTAAATGTATTAATTAGATTTAATAGTGATATTATGCGGTAAGATCGTTCATAAACATTTAAGAATGAATATGAATGGCAGGTAATCATTAGTTCAAATGTTTTAGTGAATAATTTTTGATATGTACGTGTTAAATCTTTGGTAAACAGGGAATTTCATTGGAATTTTGTATATTTTCTACTGAGAACTATTCATAGTAATCAAATGTATGACACTGAATAAAGTGAATATTATCGGTATTATTCATTATTAAATTGATATACATATATGTTTTGTCAACCAATATCAAAGTCACAATCTTCAATACGAATGTCAAGATAGTTAATTCTACTGTACAGAGCTGAAAAATTGCGAACTACTACATCCATCTTCAAGAAAGCACAAGTATTTATGAACAATTGTCTACACAAGATACTCACTGTCCGTTGTTGGCTGGATACTGCCAGCAACAGCCTACTCTATAGGAGGGAATAAACTGGCTTCCAGTTAAAAAGGAAATAAGAAATAGATGATGAAATTAAATATGACATATATTTCGGCAATCATCATACTGAATCACAAAGCAAGTGCTAACTTTGAATCCTGAATAGAAGCGGAATAGATTAAAGCTAATGAATACACTGTATTGGGAGTTAGAAATCGACACGAAAAGGATGAATGGTGATTAGAAACAACTGGGAAGAATTGTCCAGGACAGAATTGGATATAGAATGATGGTAAACGGCCTACGCTCCTCCATGAAGAGTAACAAGCGTAAATCAGTATACATATATCTTAACTAAATTCAATAAAGGAATCAGTGTTATATGAATATATATATATAATGATCACTTACACATATCAGCTTTATCACGTAATTGATTCCAATCTTCATCTGTTAATGGCATTTGATCATTTTCACGTATTGCTATTGTACCACGTACCCAACATACAGATTCAGCAAATTCATTAAATTTATTATCTGGTGATGTTGGTAATGTACATGAAATTGGTCTAAGAAAATATACATTAGCCATTGTTACACCAGATAACATTAATATTATAACACAACTAATAAAATGATTTAATCTATCAGCTAAATCTTCTAAATGTGTATAGGCAGTTGTTTTTGCACCAGTTAAACGATCTATAAAACCAAGACCAAATTCTAAAACCATTTTCTCTTCAAATGATACTTTTCTTTTTTTCTTTTTTCTTTTTTGTTTTTGTTTTGAATAGATAGAATCCTTGAAAAGAAAGAAAACAAGAAAGAAAAGAATAACGAATGTCTTAGTCTTGGATATCTATCTATCTATCTATCTGTTAACTAACAATTACCAATTAAATTTGATGGAGATCCCGCGAAGCGAAATCGTGGATGTGCACTGCTGAAGAGTCCCACAATAAGACGAAACGGCCATTCAGTGCTTCCATGTTTTCTATAGTAGTCTAGCTTTAATTGGCTCATAATCTCAACAACTGAAAATATTTAAAATAAATTATAAAAAAAATTAAAGTCAAGCACAAATCACTCACCAACACTCTTCATCCAACTTTGTCTTGTAAAAAAATTTACAGTTGTTTCTAATGACTTACAATGTTTGATTCACTTCCCCGTGTAGTATATGCTTTAGTCTTCTATTTTTCTGTCGCCCTTCAAGATTTCAAGTTAGCATTTGTTTCGTAATGAAATTTGATGATTTCCGTAATGTGTGTTCTATTCACCTCTAGAGTCTTTCCTATTTTTCTTTTCAAATGGAATATGGTTTGTTATTTGCCACAGTAGGCTGTTGCGGATAGCATTCAGTCAATGAACATTCAATATCCTGTGTAGACCGCTATTTATAAATGCTTGTACCTTGTTGATGATGGTTGTAGTAGTTCTCTAAGTTTCAGATCCGTACAGTAGAACTGTCTTGACGTTTATATTGAAGATCCCCGAAAAAGCATATGCAGATAGTGACTTATCCAGCTCAAAAACAGACTCCCTGTTAAATGTTCATACAATTGTCTCAATAACCGCTCATGAAACAGAAAACAAATCGAGCAGTACACTGAATGCAGCTTCTCCAAATGGATCTCATCATTCTGCGACAGAGGTTTCTGACGAACCTAACTATCGAGATTCTCTTCTACCAGAAAATAAGTCACATGCATCAAATAATGATCAGAAACTTAATACAATTTTGATAGGTGCTGATTACCTTTATGATCCATTATTTACAAATGAGGCTCCCAATAGAATTGATAACAATATCTCAGAATATTCGAACTCTGATGACTTCGAATTAAATGGCGTTTATCCTCACTATCTGGTCAATTTTACTGGATTCTCTGTTCAATATGTTTTAAATATGGTCAAATTAATTGTAACTTGGGTATATGAGGATCCAACATTATTTCGCGGTGGAGGATGTACTCGGAAAATTTAAAATTCGGATATCAACTCCGGATCTTCAAAAAAGGGGAGGTGTGTTATGTCCCGTCAAGAATAATGAATAGTAATTTTGGGGTCCATTTGAGGACGAATCAAGACTCTAGACTGCTCGCATGTGTTGACGCGTCCTTGGTTCGGTCGATAAGTCACTGCCCTCTAATAGGCGGTCCCAAGTTATAACACTTTATTATATACGTAGATATTGAATGTGAATTTTTTTTAATAGTTTCTAGAGTTCCATCTCTAGAATATGACCTGAATATTTACCAACTGATCAAACGAACGGCCGAAAAATGCTCATTATTTTTATCTGAATCACTTTGCAGTGCTTTGGAAAGTTTTGTTGAGGATATATTTCTAATATTTTACCTCTCCACATGCAAGAGAACACCTCTTTATTATTATACTCAACGAACTGTTCAATGTTCAGTAAACACTAAGTCTGTAACAAGCTTTTACTCCAATGACTAGACAACTGTTAGTAAACACTTGCATCTTCTGGATGATGGCTTTCGTAGTTTTCCAGGTTTCCACCCCATACAGTAGAATTGTCTTGACATTTGTATTGTAAATCTTGACCTTGGTGTTGGTGTGGACAGTTGTTTTCAGTTCCAGATGTTCAGTTGTAAATATGCTGCTCTTGCTTTGCCGATCCGCGCCTTCACATCTGCATCAGATCCACCCTGTTCATCAATGATGCTGCCCAAATATGTAAAGGTTTTTACATCTTCCAAATCTTCTCCGTCAATTGTGATTGGATTGGTGCATGCTGTGTTGTATCGGAGAATCCTGCTTTTCCCTTTGTGTATATTGAGACCTACTGCTGCTGAGGCTGCTGCCACACTGTTTTTCTTCTCCTGCATTTGTTGTTGCGTTTGGGATAGAAGGGCCAGATCATCTGCGAAGTCTAGATCGTCCAACTGCATCCTAGATGTCCATTGTATCCCGTGCTTCCCTTCAGATGTTGACGTCTTCATGATCCAGTCGATCACCAGGAGAAAGAGAAAGGGTGAGAGTAAGCAACCTTGCCTAACACCGGTCTTCACTTCGAACGACTTTGTCAACTGTCCTCCATGCACAATTTTGCAGTGTAATCCATCATATGAATTCTGTATGATATTGACTATCTTCTGAGGCACGCCGTAGTGTCGAAGAAGTTTCCATAGTGTTGTTCTGTCCACGCTATCAAATGCCTTTTCGTAGTCAATGAAGTTGATGTAGAGTGATGAATTCCATTCAATTGATTGTTCCACAATGATCCGTAGAGTTGCGATTTGGTCTGTACACGATCTATCCTTACGGAATCCTGCCTGTTGGTCACGAAGTTGGGCGTCTACGCAGTCCTTCATCCTGTTTAACAATACCCTGTTGAAGACTTTTCCCGGTATTGAGAGAAGAGTGATGCCCCTGTAGTTATCACACTTGCTGAGATCGCCTTTCTTCGGTATTTTGATCAGAAGTCCTTCTTTCCAGTCTTTGGTACTTGTTCCTCATCCCAAATCTTATTGAAGAGAATGTGGAGTATCCTTGCAGTTGCCGCTACGTCTGCTTTTAGTGCCTCTGCTGGATGTTGTCCGGTCCTGCTGCTTTGCCACTCTTGATTTGTCTGATGGCCATGCTGATTTCTTCAATTGTTGGTGGGCCAACATTGATTGGGAGGTCCGTGGGTGCTGCTTCGATGTTGGGTGGGTTCAGTGGGGCTGTTCTTTGAAGTGTTCTACCCACCTGTTTTGTTGCTCTTCAATGTTGGTGATTACCTCGCCTTCCTTGCTTTTCACTGGTCGTTCTGGTTTGCGGCGATTTCCAGAGAGTTTCTTTGTTATGTCACACAGTTGTCTCATGTTTCCTTCTCTTGCAGCCTTTTCCGCCGTCGTTGCTAAATCTTCCACATATTTACGTTTGTCGGTTCTGATGCTCCTCTTCACTTGTTTGTTTACTTCTGTGTATTCAGCTTGTGCCTTGGCTTTTTCTGCTCTTGTTCGACTGGTATTGATTGCTGCCTTCTTGTTCCTCCTTTCTTGAATCTTATCCAGTGTATCAACAGTGATCCATTCCTTGTGATGGTGCTTCTTGTGACCCAGGACCTCATGACATGTTGAAGTGATTGCCTCTTTGATCCCCTTCCAGTTGCTCTCCACAGTAGTTCCTTCTCCATTGAGTAGATCATGAAAGGCCTGGAACTTGTTGCTGAGGACTATCTTGAATTTGTTGAGTTTGTTAGTATCCTGAAGAAAGGCCGTATTGGCAACCAGCAAGTGATGGTGCCGCCTATGACCAGTTTATTGAAGGCACATAGGTTTGCAAATCTCACCATTTTCGTTCCTTTCTCCCAGTCCGTGTCGTCCCATGATGTCCTCATATCCAGTGTTGTCCGTTCCAAACTTGGCGTTGAAATTTCCCATCAGAATGGTCAGGTCCTTTGTTGGGCACTTCTCGATGATTGACTGCAGCCTATCGTAGGATTGATCTTCAGCATCTTCATTGTAGTCGTTGGTAGGCGCATAGCATTGGATGATGTTCATTGAAATGCCCTCTTTCTTTGTTTTAAACGAGGCTTTGATGATCCTTGGTCCATGAGATTCCCATCCTATAAGTGCATTGTGCGCTTGTTTAGACAACATCAATGCAAGTCCTTGTGTATGTGGGGCATTTTCTTCTTCATGGCCGGAGTATGACAGGAGTTCTCCTGAAGTTAGTCGTTGTTGTCCAACTTTCGTCCAATGTGTTTCACTGATCCCAAATACCTCTAGGTTGTATCTTCTCAATTCTGCAGCAATTTGGAAGGCTCTGCCGGTGTCCCACATTGTACGAACATTTCATGTACCTAAATAAATGGTTGCTCTGGTTGTCAGAAGGGGAATCGGCCTCGTAACTTCCGAAGGAATTCGGCTTTCATCATGAGGCGTCATAGTTCTTCTAAATGAAGACCTTCTGACTCCCGGGGCGGAGTTTAAAAGGTTTGAATAATTTTTCCGGTTTATCGTTTTTCTTAACGATTTAGTCTTCCACGGGATGAGGTCGCTAACCCCATGCCCAACCCTTCTCCTTTCGCCGGGCTTGAGACCAGCAGTAGCCCAAGAGGGGCTCCAGGCGGAGGAGAAGACTAAAGAATGCATTACGTCGAGAAATGAAAACATATATGGAATTAATGAATAACAATTGGATAGAACTAGAACGGAAAGCCCAGGACAGACTGGGTTGGAGAATGCTAGTCTACGGCCTATACCTCATTGAGAGTAACAGATTTAAGGAAAAAATTGTAGATAATACCATTCTAATAGTAGTCACTTAAAAATAAAGTAAAAATGTACTTAAAGTGTGCACCACAAAATTACAAATGAAACTACACATTATTATAATAAAACTATTTAATGTCAGCCAATAAAATATGACATTTTCCCATAGTTTCTTCATATTTCTTTATCAGACTATAAAATGTAAGAAGAAATAAATGTGACTATTGTATAGATACAATATTGATAGAATAAACTAAGAAAGGAAGGGAGGAAGGAATGATTTCTAGGGAATGTTAATTATATCAGACTAGGTGTTCTAATCAATTTTGATTTCTTCAAACAAGAAAAGAATGAATAATGTGACTTTATATTGATCAACAAATATTTCTGAAAATAAATGATTACAGTCTACACAGTTATGTCATTATCAGATGTGGAAGTTTTGTGGAGATTTTAGTAATTTACTAGTTGAATTCATCAGTCAGTTAAAGGTAGACCACCATGATAAACCTGAAAGTACTGGATAGCTGTTTCATCCTAGTATGAAACTCATCAGCAATACACATCGATGATCTTGATCGCGGGGTTCGAACCCAAGACCGAAGAGAAGGGAACAGAAAATGATTGGTTTGGAAACAAAGCCTGAGCCGATTGATTGACATTGTGCAAATGAAGTAGTGACTGTATGGTTCTCAGATTTTACTAAGATATCCTGTAATTTTGTATTCAGACACATTCGATTGTCTTTACTTTTGTTCTCCTTCACTACAAAAGACTGCTCGATAAAATTAAAAACCAGTCTCATCTCCAAACAGACACTTAGAAAGTGGGCGTAGAAAGATAAGTGATAAAAGAAATTTCGACAAAACCTAGTATTGATGTTACTTTTACAAAGCAAATAATAATAATACATTAACACCATTAGGTGCCGGCCCAGTAGTTTAGTAGGCTAAGCGTTTGCGCGCGAGACTCTAGGTCCTGTGTTCGAATCCCGCGAGCGGTATCGTGTGTTCGCACTGCTGAAGAATCCCATACTAGGATGAAATGGCCGTCCAGTGCTTCCAGGTTTTCTATGGTAGTCTAACATCAATCGGTTCATGATCTCAATCAAAATGTTATAATACAATTAAATCTATTCCTTTTTGCACAATCATTCTTGTATGGATTTTACTGTTTTTGTTATCTTGTAATTTTGACAAATCAAATTACAAACTGTATTTGGCTGCATTTGACAGTTTAAATGAAGAAATTTCGAACGTTCTGTTTCATTATTCTGTTTATCATACATTGATATGGATAGTAAAGTACTTGGAAACTTTTAGGTGAGACTATAATTTATAAACGAACCAATTAGGTATAAGATAACAGGTCTCAGATTTTGGCTAAAAGTTTATCCACGCATTTAGTAAAATACTTTTGTGACATTATAGCTGATGTCAGTTCGTGACGAAAACCCTAAATCTAATTCTTGACTTTGACCATCAACTGTAAATCATCATTCTAATTCCACACACTAATTTATAAGCCTTATTTGATCCTAGTTATTAAATGAACACTCTTAAGGTGACTTTAGCGTTACTCGACTGTTGTAGATAAATTATAGTCTTATCAAATGTTATATTGGATAGAGAAATCTGATGTAAATTTCAGTTGTAATCAAAATGAATTTAAACAGGCAATTCGTTTAGAAGTAGCAATACAGTTTAATCTGAGTGTTATAGCAATGCTGCCATGATCCATTTCTTTTATAGTTAAATTTTGTTAAGCTTTCTTATTAACTACATGTACCTAAATAAATAGTTTCTCTGGTTGTCAGAAGGGCATCGGTCTCATGACTTCCGAAGGAACTCGGCTTTCATCATGAAGCGTCATAGTTCTTCTAAATGAAGACCTTCTAACTCCCAGGGCAGAGTTTAAAAGGTTTGAATAATTTTTTCTGTTTAGCTATTTTCTTAGCGAGTAGGTCTTCTACGGGATGAGGTCGCTAACCCCATGTCCAACCCTTCTCCTTTATCCGGGCTTGGGACCGGCAGTAGCCCTTGGGGGGGCTACGGGAGGAGTAACAGGCGTAAGTAAGTAAGTCTTTTATTAGCTCATTTGACAAACAATGTTATTCGAATGGTAACAATCCATCTATTTCTTTGTACTGTTTATGATCACTATTCTTGATCACATGAAATAGACTACTCATATTATCTTTCTGTAGCTAGAATGTTGATAGCTTCATTATCATACTCTTCCCCATGTATATATGTACTCGAATCCTATTGTTAACCTTTGCCTTGCCTAAATGTACCTTATTCGATTTGACTATAATTTCGCCACTTTATTCTCTATTACACAAACATTGGCCTCTCTGCTTTAAATTCACTCGATATACTTATAACTTTGTTGTCTGTACTATCGGCTAATAAATGGTAGTCACCGCTTCTTACTGGCTTCTGATTTCAAACATCGTTGAGATTTATACAATAACGGTTATCAAGGTGATTGATGATAAACGAACCTTAGCCACTACAGTTTATGTTCACAGAATTCTGTATCGTTTCTTGGGATACTATTGCTGTATGCATAAAATACACACTCTTATATCATTTCAATAGCCTGGAAACTATTTAAGAAATATTCATTGAAGAATCACTTAAAACTGAAATTGAATATATACGATAGTGAATTTATTTTTATCGTAAAAAATAAATATCACAATTAATAATAAACTCATCTTACATCTTCCTTAGGAACTTATTTAGTATCTGAGTCCGTTTTTCAGTTGCATCTTTTTGAACGGTTTCTTTGGAGAATTTGACAGGATTAGATCATATCAAAGATAGTTCGGTGACATTGTAAAGTATGTTAAGGTATAACATTCATTCTTTAACTTAACTAAGGTAGATTTTTCTATATATTGTGGGCCTTGTGCCCCTATTATTATATGACGTAAGGATACCGCCAATTGGAGAACAGAGAATTATTAACCGTACAAATGACGTATTAAGTCGGTACGAGCAGTCTAGAATCCTTATCTGTACTTCTTCCCACCTAGCCCTGCCTGTTAAGTCGAGAACATCAATATCAGCCTCTGCAATATGAATCATTTATTTCAAGCATACTGAGTTTATATACACCAGCCAAACAGACCATATCGTATCAATAAAATAGGAAACAACATTTGTACCAGACTTAGCCAAATGTAACTGTGAGTGTGGGCGAGTGTAATTAATAGACTGTGCATAACTCAAGGACGGTAAAGCGTATAATAATAATCCATAGGTCAAAATATTATTATACGCTTTACCGTCTATAGGTCGAAATAACGACCAGTGTAACAGCAGCCCCAGCAGCAGTAGGTTTCAATATACACAAAGGGAAAAGCAGGATTCTCCGATACAACACAGCATGCACCAATCTAATCCTAATTGACGGAGACGATTTGGAAGATGTAAAAAGCTTTACATATTTGAGCAGCATCATTGATGAACAGGGTGGACCTGATGCAGATGTGAAAGGGCGGATGGGAAAAGCAAGAGCAGCATATATACAACTGAAGATCTGGAACTGAAAACTACTGTCAACCAACACCAAGGTTAAGATTTTCAATACAAATGTCAAGACAATTCTACTGTATGGGGTGGAAACCTGGAAAACTACGAAAGCCATCATCCAGAAGATGCAAGTGTTTATTGACAATTGTCTACGCAAAATGCTTCGGATCCGTTGGCCGGACACTATTAGCAACAACCTATTGTGGGAGAGAACAAATCAGATTCCAGCGCAGGAAGAAATCGGGGACAAGCGCTGGAAGTGGATAGGACACACATTGAGGAAGGCACCGAACTGCGTCACAAGACAAGCCTTCACATGGAATCCTGAAGGCCAAAGGAAAAGAGGAAGACCAAAGAACACATTACGCCGAGAAATGGAGATAGACATGAGAAGAATGAACAATAATTGGATGGAAATAGAAATGAAGGCCCAGGACAGAGTGGATTGGAGAATGTTAATCGGCGGTCTATGTTCCATTGAGAGTAACAGGTGTAAGTAAATAAGTGAGTAATAGGTTGAAATAAAGCTAGTAATAAGAGGAGTACAGATATACAGCGTCTAGCTACTAAATAGTTATACATTAAGTCTATACGTATAATATTTGTCCATAAATAGATCCCAACAGTTACCATCCAGTATTCTCGTTGGGATATAACAGATTTATTATGTACAATGAACATTGATTAGAAATTCAGTGTGATATTCTAATGTTGATAATGATCGCCACACAGTAAATTTAACTTACTTAGACTTTTCAAATAAAGTGAATAGCATATACATTTTCATCTAAACATTGACAAAATGTAACTGAGATTTGAATCCTTAAAAATACACGAATAGATATATATTAGTTATACTGTTCAAGTTGAAGATGCCACAAGTATTCGGAGTTTAACAACGCTCTAAACAGTAACACATTCTAATATGAATCGTACCCACCAAGCGAAATCGAAAGACAGAAGAGAGGAGGTTCGAAGGTATATTTGATAGGCTATCAATATATCGAGGATCCTCTGATTTAATCTGGCTAGCGATTGCAGGGGTTGTTGAGCACGGTGTTCCCACTCGTGATCTGGTGCGGATGCATGACCGACTGCCTTCAGCTAGGTGAGTCCACTAAAACTAATTTAGTCTGCATCCAAAGTCGAAGACTTACAGAGATATTTACTTTGGGGATTTATTTACCGCTACAAAGTGTTGAGTAGTATCTTTAAACTTAGTATTTATCCTAAAGTTTATATTTCCAATTATTAGTTGATCATATTCTTCATACTACTTAATAAATATTTCCTCATTCCTATAATATTTTCTGATTAACTGCTAATTATCTCTGGTTAGTAATAAATGGGAAATAATTTCCTAATTAAATGCTCGAACTACATAAGGTTATCAAATGCCCTATTTTCAATTATGATTAAACGAAAAAGAAAAAAAAGCATTCCGTGCTTGAGCACTTAACCTCTAGACTATTGAGACGGCATCCAACAATGTTAATTTCAAGAGGTATTTCCTGGAGTTCTAGTGAAAATCAGTGACCAATAGAGTTCAACCGTGTCTGTTGAAGACAATGGCAGATGTGTCACTCAATTTCGTGGATAAGTTGAAGTTAGACATTAACATCGTTGGGTGCCGGTCAACTCGTTAGTCTAGAGGTTAAGTTTTCGTCAGTGAGATTGATAGGTCCTAGGTTCGAATCTCACAAGGTGGGATCGTGGATGAACACTGATGAAGAGTCCCACAATAGGACGAAACGACCATTCAGTGCTTCTAGGTTTTCTATGATGGCGGTCTAGCTTCAAATGACTCATGATGTGAACTACTGAAATCATTATAATATCCACAAAAACCTATTCTGATATTAAAAAGCATTCCATTATAACAAATACAATCATTTCAGTTATAACATTAGTTATATAATAACAATATGATATAAATACAAACTTACTTGTTATTAAAATGAATAGGAAATGAACACTTCGTATTCTAAATTCTTGTTACAAATACGTTGAAATAGTAAAATAATCCAACTCGACTTTGTTTTCCTCTCAAAAGACACACACATATATATATATCGTCGTCTAAATTATACTGACATGAAGTTGGTAAGAGGATTTTTTGTTTTGTTTTGAAAAAAAAAACAATCGTTGCACAATATCTTTTTTTTCAAATATTTAACATTGAAATTTCATAATGAACCAATCAGAAATCGCCTAATTATTATTTTATTTTTTTGGTTTTTTTTTTCAAATTTTTAACCAATCAATGATCAATTCAATTAGTGTGACCTAAAAGTAATTTTAAATGTTGATTTTATATAAACAAATGAAATGAACACACACAAAAAAACCCGCCATATAATGTTAATATTTAAACAAAAATAAGGATAATTAATAGTATCTAATGTACTGGTTAATTTTTTGTTTTGTTTTTGGAAAAGTTCATGGTGTAAATCATGTTTAATGAAATAGATGTTCATGATTATATAAAAATAAAGAATAATTCAGTAGTACAGCAATTTGTACAATCAATATGAAGTACATGGTTAAAATATCCAAAATGTTTTTTTTTGTAGAATATTTGATTTAAATAGATACTTTTATTGAATATTTGGAACTATTGAATGGTTGTTTTATCCACGATTCTGCTTGCCGAATTCGAACTCTGGAGCTATTGAACTTACGAGAGAACGCTTAGATTTTAAAGCATTAAGCAAGCATTCAACGGTGTTAATATCTAACTTTAATCAATCTATGATATTGTGACACCGTTCATTATTGTCTTCATTAAGTTACTATCTCACAACAGACTTGGTTGATCTCCGCTGGTCACCGCTTCTCACTAGAAGTGCAGGAAATACCTCTTGAAGCCAGTTACTAGTGAACATATGATGATTATAATCACAGAGGGCGTTTTGTGGATATTATGGTAACCTTATAGTTGAATTCATAAGTCAATTGAAGCTAGAACATCATGAAAAACCTGGAAGCACTGGATGGCTACTTCGTCCTATCGTGGGACTCCTCAGAAGTGAGTATTCACGATCCACGGTACTTTTTTACATATGTCAAAAATAATTATAGTTCCGCAAGCTGTTCAAAATTCTTAGTTATTTACAAAATTTATGCTTTGAATAATATATAGGATAAAAATAATGATATCATCGCTTCTAGTTTGAATTCTTAGCTTATTTAACATTGTACAACTTTGTAAATCACATACCAGAAGTATCTAACTGTTATGTCCCGATAAGCATAATGAATAGTAACTTTTGGGATCTATTCATGGACCAATTCTATGCGTATACTTTTATTGCATAATTGTTAAATAAATAAACTATTCATATTCGTGTTCCTCTTATTATAAACTTTATGTTGACTTATGAACTATTATTATACAATTTACCATTCTTGAGTTATGCCCTGTCTATCAATTACTACCTCCCTCATTCACAGTCCTATTTGGCTAATTCTTGTACTGGTTTTGTTTCTTATTTTATGGTACGATGTGGTCTGTTTGGCATGTACGTTAACCCAGTACGTTTGAAATATAATGATTCATATTGAAGAGACTGAGATTGATGTTATAGACTTAACTGGCTGAGTTAGGCACGAAGCATGGCCAATAAGGACTCTAGACTGTTCTTACTTGTTTTATGCGTCGATGGTCTGGTAGATAATTCACTGTTCTCTAATTGGCGGTATCATTACGTATACATTAGCAGGGCACTCAGGCTGCAAGTTATAGCACTAACACTCTGTTGGTTGTAACTACCCTTTCATTAAGTTGTTTATTGATATCGCTCCTCTCCTATTAACCGAGAATCACCTCTCGGTAGTGAAGTTAACTGAAGTGTTAAAATTAATCTTCTATGAATATTTAATCTAGTCGCTTTGTTAGCTAATTCATCTGATTTATAAATAAGACAAATTTATCAAAATAGTTTCATCTGGCGACCTGCTTGAACATCTTGGCTACCTTTCCCTGCCATCTAAATATTTCAACAAGTTATCTAGTTTTGGTTATGTTACTCAGTTACGCCAGTAACCCCTCGTCGATGAGTAAAGGCCATTCAACAGCTTTTTACATCTAACTCTTTCCTGGACAATCCTTTCCAGTTCCTATTCATTCTTTTCATGTCTCATTCCAATTCTCGACTCAGTGTGTTCTTTGGACTTCCTCTCTTTTTTCATATCCCTTTAGAATTCCAAGTTGTCGCTTGACTCATGATACAGTTTAATGATTTCCATAATATATGTCCTATCCATTTCCATCTTCTTTTCTTAATTTCCTCCTCAACTGAAACCTAGTTTGCTCTCTCTCTCATAGTAAGTTGTTGTTGACAGTATCCGGCCAAACAATATTCAATATCTTACATAGGTCTATATTTACAAGAAAAAGATGGTAATGACAGAAAATTTTACAGTTTAACCGAATTTACCATTGTCAACATTCATAGAATAACCAACAAAACAAAAAATAAGCACAATATTACAAGTCTACTGATTATTCAGGTGGATAAAATTACATATTTTACACATGATTTACGTATTATATGTCAAATATCAAATAGCTATGGTTAACTAATTTCTAACTTCATTGAGATGGTGGAGAAGATTTGTAGCTCAGGTGGATGATTTTGGTGGAGTTTTGTTCTCTGAGCTGGATTCTCTTCTTGACATTCCTGTGTTAACCCTCATATCATTTTGTTAATATACAAATTTAACGATTAGTAACCAAGAGATTACCGTTTGTTTTTTTGTTTTTTTTTTCATTTCCAGTAGGGTGTTTTGTTTTTCTTCTTTCAGTTAATTACATAACTAACTACATTCAAATTGAAATCAGTTCTATTCAAATCATATGACTAAATAAATCATTGTTCATTTTCAAAATTGCTTTATATTCCGATCAGTTAGTTACTAATGTCAGTATGACACTAATGATTTCTGTGTACATTCCAGTAAGTTGAATAAAAAAAATTCATCTAACAGGCATATGATAACATATCATAGCACATCATTACGTAACATCTACAGGCACATGTAACAGGTTCTTTGTTCAAATATCTACATATATGTAATGTGACCGGTTATTGTTTATACAAATAGAATGTTTATGTAATAACACTATAATGAAAAATAAAGAGAAAATTATCTGGGTTTTTTTCTATACTGTAAAGTCATCTAATCACTTAGAAACTAACTTCATTTAGATCGTTTCCGCTTGTTATCGAAATGTACAAGCAACCAACTTTCAGATCTAATCACGACTCAAATCGTGTTAGTGAATAATTGAATTCAATAAGTCAATTACGAGTATTGATTTTTGAATATTAATTGATCTGGACAGACAATTAGAGGAATGAAGCGAAGCAAAACGAAATAATACACAATGGAGAAGGCATGTAAGCCTACTTCATTTAACTGAGCGTAAATCGACATTCATATTCAGATAGGATCAATAAGTGAATAATTAACAAGATCACAATGTGACTCAAGAAGAACGAGTAGATTAAGCTTGTTCGGAAGCTAGAATAAGCTATAAGGGTTTAAAATCATAGCAACCGACACTACAGGATTAATAAACTAGAAAAGTATATTAAGAATTATTAATTAAGTGCCAACCACTATCAAAGTCTCAATCTTTAATACGAACATCAAGACAGTTCTACTGTATGGAGCTGAAACTTGGAGAACTACTACAATCATCATCAAAAAGGTACATGTATTTATAAATAGTTGTTTACGCAAGATACTTAACATCCATTGGCCAGATACCATCAATAACAGTCTACTGTGGGAGAGAACAAACCAGTTTACAGCTGAAGGGGAAATTAGGGAAAGACGATGGAAATAGATAGGGCACACGTCGAGGAAATCATTAAACTGCATCACAAATCAAGCAGTAATTTGGAATCCTGATAGGAAACAAAAAATTGGAAGGCCAAGGAACACACTGTGTCGGGAATTGAAGGCATACATCAAATAGATGAATAACAACTGGAAGGGATTGCCCAAGATAGGGGTTGGATGTAGTGTGCTGGTGGGCGGCCTATGCTCCTCCACGAAAAGTAATAGGTGTAAGTAAGTAAGTAAGAAATAAAATGACATTTCATTTATTTGTTTTATTACAGGTCTTATTAATTGCTGATAGATGGAAATGAATGAAAACATCTATTAATAAAATGTAATCATTTAACTACTTACTTACTTACTGACTGACTTACGCCTGTTACCCTTCATGAAGGAACATAGACCGCTCACCAGCACTATCCATCCAACCCTGTCCTGGACAATCCTTTCCAGTTCTTTCTAGTGTTCTTTTTAGAGAACAACTGAATGTCATTCGTTTCTCTATAAAGAAAAATACAATTCAGATAATCTGATTAGAAAGGTTATTACGTTCTGGGACAAGTTTTACTTAAAACTGGCTAGCATAAAATAAATATGATTGATACATTTGAAATTCAAATTATGCAACATCTCATCACAATCAGTCATAATGAGCGAGTAAAGCTCATCTTCTTGAACCCTACCACTTAATGATTTGGTAAAATCTGAAATCAATACATTAAGTACCTCATTTGTAAAATATTCATCAATTGTCTTAGACTTTATTATCCTTTCGTTTCTATGCCAGTCACTCTTTGTTCTTGTTCTCTTCGATTTTCTCAACCTTCTACTACCAGATATTCCACTTTCGATTGGTCATACATACTATTTATATCTGTCGATATCAGTAGCACACGTCACAATGAAATTGAGAAAAAGTATTACCTACCTTATGTTTGGAACTTGTAAGTTAAATGCACCTATTTCTCAGTTTAGACTAAAACTCGAACCGAGTAACTGCAGCTTGAAATACTAATGGTTTCCAAATGTGGTCTAACATCAATCGATTCGTGATCTCAATCAAAAACTTAATAATCTCCACAACCCCTATACTAGTAATTAACATGTGCTCACTAGTGACTAGCTTCGTGAGGGAATTCTCGGAGTTCTAGTGAGAAGCCGTGACCAGTGGAGCTAATCCATGTCGGGTAGAGACAGGTATCTACCCCAGCACAATGGAAGACGGTTGCGAAATTTGGTGGGTTGGTTGATGTTAGACACTATCACCACTGGATGCCAGCTCAGTGGTTCAGTAGGTTAAGCGTTCGCACGCGAGACTGAAGGCCCTGGGTTCGAATCTCGCGAGC